TAATCACAAAAACCCTGGATACAACGTTGGGGATACCCTAGGTTGAAAATGAAAAATAGGTGAAATGGTTAATCAACAAATGAATAGTTCAAGTGTTATTGAAACGCTGAAAATGATTATTGTAAAAGCAGAAACATTAACTGAGTTTAAATGCTTGATGTTACAGTTTACTTATATTTGTGAAGGATTTTCTTATCAATATAAATTTTAAATAAGATGATAATATATTTTATATACATATTACATAAAATATATATATTTTAATATGTAATAGAAATTATATTAATAATATATATAACAGAAATTATATTGATAATATATTATTATTAGATAATTTATTAATTATTTAATTATCTGCTTTTCTCTCCCTGAGTGGGGCCCCGTACCAGCTGGTGTACCTCAGGGGACAAAATTGGGGCCATAGCTCTTCTTGCTAATGATAAACGATCTAAGAATTCCCCACGTCCAAACGTGGAAGTACGTTGATGACAAGACGGTGGCAGAGATCGTCCCGCGTAACGCATTAGGTGACGCCCAAACCGCTGTCAAAGTGGTGGAGGATTGGTCCAAAGCACAGAAGATGCAGCTGAACGCTGACAAATGCAAAGTTATGGTCATCGACTACAAAAGGCAGAAACACCATTTCACTCCCCTCTTGGCAAAGAATTAGAGACGGTAGAGTCGGCTAGGATCCTAGGCGTGACTATTTCGTGTAACCTTAAGTGGAATAACCACGTCAATGATGTTATAAAAAGAGCAAACAAACGATTATACTTTTTAGTCCTCCTGAAGAGAGCCCGCGTTCCAGCGGATGACATAATTAATTTTTATTGTACCACTATGCGTCCTGTTCTGGAATACTGCGCACAAATATTCCATCATGCGTTACCTGCGTATCTTAGTGATGACATTGAAAGGGTCCAAAGACGCGCATTGTCCATCATTTCACCAGAACTGTCATACCATGACTCTTTAGACAGGCACGGTTTAGCTTCGCTCTATGACAGACGCATGAAATTATGTACGGATCTGTTTTTGTCTGTCTCAAATCCATCTCACAAATTATATAATTTGCTGCCAGATAGGCCTTTTTTCAGCTTGAAATACTAGACACCGGCGCGTTTTTAACATGCGGCGCTTTCGCACTGACCGTTTCAAATTTTCATTTATCCCGGCTATGTGCGCGTGTGCTAACCTAGATTTTTAGCTATTCCACTGCTGTATATTAGCTATATTAGTTATATTAGTAATTTTATTTAAGTCTTAGCATTTTTGTAATAGACAGTCTTATATAGTCTTATATAATCAATGATTGTGAAAAGCACGCAATTCAGCCTATGGCTGCAATGTATTTTATTTGATAATAAACTATCTATCTATCTATCTAACTATACAAATCATTACAGCATAAACATCACGAGCTTAAATGCTTGATGGTACAGTTTACCCGTATTTGTGCAGGGTTATTTTATTTATATTAATTTCAAATACCATGTTTAAGACCAGTTCAATCATTAATCACTCGTATCGTAACAGCAAAGACATAAATAGAGCTTGAAACCTTGTGAAGGTGTGATGATACATTGCACTTCATTTATTGAGTGCGGGTCTACCGCGAATGGTGTGTGTGTTTGTAAGTACTTTGAGCATTCCAGAAGGAAAGCAATTCTTTACGGTTTTCAATCAAGCTTCGCACCACGAGAAGCAGAGAGCAAAGAGACCTACCTCGTTTTCACGGTTGCCTCGCTTTCATGCTTGTAGAGGAATACCGCAGACCGTCAAGTAACGCAAGCTTACACACTTTCGAAGTCGTCGACAGATAGATAGATAGATAGGAAACCGAAACCTAGACTAGGTCTACCTACATAGCCCGAGTAAAAATGCCATGAACAACGAAAGCAGTTGGTTATAAAACTAAAACGAACACTCTCCTACGTTCAGTTAACTCCGAAAATGGTCTGTAAGTGAAAATTTGAATGGTGGCTGTATCTGTAACTCTTTTATTAACGGTTTCAAGCAAAGTAAAGATCAATTTCAATTAAAAGTTATAACAGCACGAGGTAAGAGTATTTTAAGTACTGTTTTTAATGTTGCACGGTGCTTTAACATTTTCCTTAAGAAAAGTTTGTATAAAACTTTCCTAAAAAAAGAAAAGTTCAGTTAATAGAAATGTGAATGACAGGCTAAAACAAAATAAAAGGTTTGACTGGTTAATGCTACAAAAACAAATCTTACTTTGTGATATCATTAAAGAAAATACAATGACAGAGTGATTACCATAGTTACAACATCCAGACTTTGATTGAGAAAAGCTCTGTTTTTAAAATACCCAGATAGAAAAACTCTTTTTTTCCTCATAAACCCTCAAAGGAATATAGAAAGAATTTGGAAGGTTTTACAAGCATTGGAAAGCGAAAGAAAGGTCTCATAGTACAATATTAACAGACTAAGTGGTCATCAAAAAAATGGTAATTTACAAATAGATAATCCCTGACTATGTTCTGTTTTGTTGTAAAGCACTCAGGAAGCGGCCAGAGCACGAAAGAATTGTAGAAAGACGTAGTCGAGTGCTTCTCCCCACTTTCTGAGTGCTCTAGCCGCTTCCTAAGTGCTTCACAGTCAAGGCTTCTCTATTTGTTTACTATTAAAGAATACGTAAAACTCCCCATGCATTACTTTCAATATTCAAAACAAAATTTATTTTCCAAGCCAGCTCTGCAATAAGGCAATAAGAAGCCTTGTGAGAATGGTTCAAATAATCTGATTGGTTGAAGAAGACTTAAGCTGTCAAAAATGTCGAACCATTAAAGTTCACAAATAATCAAAGTCCACAATCTGCAATAGTTTACAAACTGAAATAGTTTGGCTGGTCGAACTTAACACGTTTGCCTGAAGTTTTTTGTAGTCCTTAAAATAGAACCTGAATATGAAACGTTCAGTGAAATCCGGCCGAATTGTGGCTCATAATAAATCACAAGTTTTTTCACATGACAGTTAGAAAACAAACTGCTCAAGGTGTGTGTTTTATGAACTAACGACAGCCGAATTCACAAGAAAATGAAGATTACTTGGGATGACAACGCCATAAAACTTGCCTGCTGGGACTAATGTGGCCTTCCACTCAAAGCATCGGAAAGGACATCAGAGCGAGCTCTTAGTTGTTCACTCAAAGGGCGGCCGATGTCATTTCTGAGGCCTTCACTGCGATGACCGGAGACTGCGATGATGAGCTAGCCGCGATGGACCTCAGCACGATCACAGTCGCTCTGACACCGTCATGATAAGTATGAATTTTAACAGCTATGCCAGTTTGGCTATATTTTTCATCACTGCTGTTTTGTTCTGTTTTATTTTCGATAACGAAACTATTTATACTATGCGAGAGTTAGCTGTGTTTGATCTTATTACCGTACTTAAGCTTGCAATCTAACTGAGCGTGAAAACCTTGAAAAGTCGAAGTGTCCATTCGTTTCTTCTTTGAGGATTTTCGTCTTTGCTTACCTTATATAGAGGATAATACATGGGCGCGAGTAGATATGGAATTTCTCTTCGAGTGTTAACTCGATAACTCACAAGTGAGCGCAGTGAACGAGTGAGATGTCGAGTGGAACACGAGAAGAATATTTCCATATCTTCAAGCAACCATGCATTATTTTGTTTATCTTATAAACAGAACAGCCTTTTACTGACAGTGAAAGTCAACTTTATTAGTGAATGGATCGACAATCCCCGGATAAAAATCGTAAAGTACGTTGACGCTAAGGCTCAACATGAAAAAATGCGTTATTGGAACACTACAAAAACAAACCGTAGACATAAATTACAATACACGAAATTCTCAGTTATTGATTGTGTCCTTACCGACAAAGGAAATTTTTCAGATACACGGCCAAAATCAGTTTGTGGCAAATCTTTCATTTGTCGTTTTCGTTCTCAGCCTCAAGAATGCCACTACTAAAGCCACCGAATACGTAACTTTCGCTTTTTCTTTCCGTATTTGGTGTTCTTCCCTTTCTAGGAAAGCTTGAATATCACTGTCTGTAAGCGATATGGAGTATTCAGTGTTTTGGCAGCCATAATCCGCAAAAATTCCGACAAACTACTTTGTATCGTGAAGGCTTTGCCGTTCATTGATCAACCCGACCGAGTGGCCCTAAGGGCGAGTGACATGTAAGCAGCTATTGGCGATATCAAACACACGTGAAAAACTACGATATTTTTTCACGTGTGTTGTTACAGCTTTTTTCAGGACTGGAAATCCTTCTATAACACCGTAGTTTATGTGATAAAATAAGGTAAATTACGGCTCTTGGTATGTTTGTTTGGTTCTTTTGTTGCTACTTTCCAGCTCGCTTGTTACGAAATTTCAGCTTCAATTAACGAAAAAAAAGCCAGAGAGAAATCCTGGAAAAGGTCGGACATTATACAATTTGGCAGATGGCGTGACAGCTTTAGCTCAGCTTATGCTTCGTACTCTGATGAAGCACGCTCTTTCAACCAATGACAGCGTGCATTATATCCGAACTCTATTATAGATAGTGATAGATACGTGTAAAGGTAGTCTTTACAAATTACATCACAACCCGTTGGCTGAATTACGTAGTGTTTTAGAATAATAAAAAATATAATTATGTAAAGAAAATACCAATGGTATATAGAGTACCCTCGTAGACTAACAAGCGACAACGCTTTGTACTCTGATACAGCAGGCCCTTTTAACCAAAGACAACACGCGTTATATATTCAAAATTTATTACAGATAAAGATAGATACATGGAGAAAAAGCTTTTAAAAATTGCACTCCTGCCCGTCAGCTGAATTATTATGAGATAATTTAGACTAATAGGATATAATAATGTATGATAATTATTTAGACCAACAAGTTATTATAATTTATAGTAATATACCAGTGGTATATGGAGGATATTACATGGCCGCGCGGGGATACGAATTTTATCTTCGAGTGCTGAAAGTATCAGCACGAGAAGATAAAATTCGTATCCCCAAGCGGCCATGTAATGTTCTGTTTATTTTATACATACAGATGAAATTCCTAAATGATAGAAAAATGCCTGTCACAAAAATGTTATGAAACTCGGATATAAAGTTACGAAGGAGAAATAAAGACGATAATACTTATATTTTTCTCATATTTTCGACATCACTTTCCGAGACTTCGGCAAATCTTCCTGAATGTTCTTCAAGCTTGAAAAAGTATCGATATGAAAATTTGGCAGCTCGTCGAGAAAGTCACCGGTAACTGTACCGTTTTCGCACCTCGAAGCCATTTTGTGAATGAAATTTCAAAAGAACCGGCCGCACCTGAACGGGAAGCTCTCTTTTAATTGGCTAATCATGTTAGTAACCATGGCGACGCCAAATAAAATCTTCACTGCGCGCGATGAAAATATGACTTTTAAGGAAAAGGAAAAATTCCTGGTATTTCATCAGTATATATATAATAAATATAGAATATCAAGTCGGTTTTCGGTGATCACAAGTTCAAAACACAAGGCAGCAACCTAAACGCTCAAGAGTCTTTGGCTCTCGCTCAGTGCTTTACAACACAAGCTGACAATACACACCCTTGCTTCACCACTGTTCAGGACAATTCGATGAAATAACTACCTAAAAGTTAAAAAGATTTGTGAGCAAAATGACTGGTTAGATTGACTCCTAATAATATCAGGTATAGCTATTTTATTAAAAAGGAAAAACCTTTTTATGAGGCTTACAAAGAAAACATCGTTAGTTTCGGTTTGTCTTGACGCGTTCCGAAGTCGATATATAACTTAAAAATGACCTCTATTGGCTTTCTCCTTGTTTCTTACTCATAGCGTTCCCTCGCTAAACTAAGCAAGCTATGCGAAGCGCTTGTTTTGTTGCTATGTGACGTCACATTAGCAGTGATTTCTAACTCCCGTTTATACCGGAAAATGATAAAGTCACCTCCTCCCTCCTAGGACACACTGACTTCCTGGATTTATCGTCATATGAGCTAAAAATTAACAACGACAAACACCATTTTGAATTATGCTTAATAGCCTGGCTACTAAACTGTGACTTATGAAAAGTCTCACTGCTGTTTTTTTCATCGCTTGGCGGTCTGCTTACATAGTTGGTAGCACCACAAAAAGGCATTCTCGACTCATATAATCTTTTTCTTGGAAGAACAAAGCAGCAGCCTTTTGAGAAGCCCACATAATGGTTATGAATTTAAGGCCAGGTTACTATGATGATTTTACAATGGCACCGTTTAAATCATCAACTAGATCTCTGTCTGAAAATCAAAATGAGCGTATGGTTTAATGTGTTGATGCCGTGTTACATTCATGCAATACGTTGTCGAGTTGTCGACATAACCCTCAAGATTCTGCCTAAAATCTTCGAATAAAGTCTGATTTCTGTAAATTAAAGGAGCTTCCTGTCGAATCGTATCGATGTAATCTCTCCACCTTGTGTTTTCGTCCTCTAAAGACCTTGGGTATGGGCGATGTTTTGGATTTCCCGCAGTAACAGGCGCAAACATCAATGCCTGACCTCGAAATATCAGTTCCACAGCAGAAAACATGTAGATTTGCGATGACCACCAGGTTTTGCTTTCATACTGCGTACGGTAAGGGAAGAGATGCTCAATAGATTTGTAATGAAATGCATTGAAAAGAGCATCGAACCATAGTATAGGTAACACAAGGGGACTGTCCCTCTTGTTACACATTTTCTTTCGTAGGTCATTGGTCCAGATGCCCCGATGATGCCATTGGTAATTCACAATGCCAACTGCTGGCTCGTAATCAAGGAGCCATTGTTCGAAGACTCTAAACGGCGGAAGCCTCTTCATTTGTGGAGGAGCAATTGAATGGAAATGCAGAATCACATCATCATCCATAAAAATGTAATAATGGTATTTTGGAGATCTCGTTATGGCAGCAAAATACAGCACATTTCGTCCTGTTCCCCATCCAGTATTGGGATAGAACAGATAAGTGATGTGAGGCGACTTTTGCACTTGACATTTGGTACGAAAGCTTACCACTATGACATCACAGTTACATGTCTCGGAGTCGCCGATCTCGGAAGAAGAGGCAAAGTTTGAGGGAAGGCATTGTTCTGTTTGAGTGAGATAAACGAAAGGCTTTGGCGATGAATTATTTGTGGGTTTTTCTGTGGCTGTAGCTTGAGTTGGAACAACCTTTCGACAGACGATCTCATCTACGATAAACAAAATGTTGTCGTTTATTTTGAAGTGCTCGAAATCAAGTCGGACCTAACCAGAACTATTTAATTAAATACTAGAGAAGGAAATTGATTCAGCGTAGAACTTTGCAAATAGTTAATTATTACGCTTTTTACGTTGTTGTAGTGATTGGGGATCTCTCCAATGAAAAGAATTTCAAGAATGATTACCTTGCTTGGAAAAGAAGAAAAAAGTCAAAAAAAAATAAAGAACCAATTTCGAGAAGTATGAAATAAGACCGATTACGATGAGCGAAGTTTTAGAGATGAATTTTTTTTCCTAGGCAGCACTTTCGAGCTCATTTATCTCGCTTCTTCCTACAACAAGGAAACAAACAGCACCGACGGAATCAAGCTATTCGAGGTTAGGAACATGTTTATAAACAATTTATCAGATATTCTAGTTCTCTGAGAGACCAAAGTCGATGACAGCTATCCAGATAGCCAGTTTTATGCTAAAGAATTAAAGCCAAATCGACAAGATAGAAAAAATTTTAAAGGTGCCTTCATAATTTGTGCAAGGTCCAACCTTAAACAAAGCGCGTTAAAAATGCTGAAACAGTTCGTTGGTTTAGAATCAATTAACATTGAGGTCAGAAATCAAAAGGACTCAGAGATATATTTTGGGTCCGTCTTTACAGACCATCCAAAATGGCCAAAGAAATCTGGTCATCCGAACGGGAACGACAAATTGAATTGATCAGCAGGCTTTCGGACGATTGAGCGATTGAGAAAAGTATCGACGACAACAGAGAAATCGCGTTGTTAGCCTGAGAAGATTAAGGGATACTTCGCAAAGCAATGTCAGAGACTATTCAAATAACTGAAGGCGAAACCATTGGTCAAAAACAAAAGAAGATTGCAGATATCCTAAATAAGCACTCTCTTAGCATAAGCGCACCGACTGTGAACGACCTGAAAGATCACGCTAGTATTCCTTTCATCAACAAGAATATCTCTCCTAAAGAATTCTTCAACTTCAGCTCAGTAAGTGAAACTAAGGTTTAAGCCACAATCACTAAAGTCACTCAACATCAGGAGAGCTACAGGAGGTAATCTTATCCCTCCAATGGTGTTAAAAAGATACTCCAGTCTCAGCCAGTGATGCGAATACGCGAACTGTACAGAGAAACTAAATTTTGCACCATAGCTGTAGTCACGAGTTGGTTCAATGACATGGGCCTTTTCTAAACGCCAAGAAAAGGGAATCCTAACTACTCAGAAGTTCCAGGACGATGTTAGCTTCCTTAATCGATGGAACACCAATAGAGCCTTCTATCACCTGTAAACTCTTAGGTGTTCACAGGTGGTTAGCTGAAGATGATCTGGAAATATTTGGTATTCAAATTTATCTTTGTTGTCATACATATGTTGGAGACTCATAATACCGGTAGTTGCCCTTTAATTTGCTTATGCTGTTGAATTGGTTATGCTTCTCAAACTGAAAGGGGGCACTGACCCCTGGAGAACGCCACTGGAGATCAACAAACTTAAAAAAAGTAAGGGTAATGTGGGTAATGACTAGCTCGAAAGTGACAGAGCGCTAGAGCGATCTAAAACCCAAAACACCGGAACAGCCAAGGCTAACTGATCAGGGGCGTGTTCTCTGCAGTAATTACCCATCAACGCCCAGGGTGATCATTGCACGCTAGTTAATTTTGAAAACGAATTTAAAACGATCTTCAGTTTGTTATCTTGAATCGGCGAAAATATAACATTGCGAAGGGCTAATTTCTGGTGAACGGTGAACGGGACAACGCGACGTAAGTAGGCCTTTAAGCTTTCGGAAGCGTTGTTATTTCCCTAGTTCGAACTAAGTTATGTTACTTTTAATTTCCTTAATATTTGCCTGCGTCTTAATTTAGATTTTGACAGCATAATTCATCGGATGAGCATCTAATGCTGTAAATCATTTCCAACTCGTTGACTTACCCATTCTGCTGTTGCTGTGAGTGGGCTGGTTAATTTCTTGTCCAAACTTCACTTGGTATGAGGCGTACATGAGGAAGGTGATCAAACCAAAGATACTAATCGAAAAAATGCTAATTTTACCTCTCGTTGTAAAGATCATTTTGGTTCTGTTTACAGTCACCCCTTCATAAACGTTTAAACCTGCGGGTAAAAAAAACATTTATTCGTATGGTAGAGAAGGATGCAATCTAATAAAAATCGCGATTTTGAGACGCCATTATTGAATTGTATTGGTGGCTAATCGAGGGATAATATATTGTAGTATTGGGAAGAGTTGTATAGCGACGAAGCTCAATGACAATAACAATATACTTTCCAACTAGCTAGCCGCCAATGTAATGCGGTATTGCCGTCTCAAAATTCCGACTGGTTTAATATCGCGATCCACCCGTTACAAACATTATACTAAAAGCTGAGAAATTTCTGAAAAGTAACTGTCTTAGATCACAAAGTATTTTTAACCAAATTTAAAAAACCGTCGAATCTGTATTAAACGACACCGTATCAGGTGATAACCCTGTATTAAGCGGTCGGTGACCAAAATCTCAAGAATATTCCCCTTTATCATTGTAATTCGTACCCCTATTAAGCGGACCAATAGGGGATCGTAGTCACCCTCTACTTAATCCCAGGGGCCTGTCTATATTGAACGGTCACTGAAAACCGAACCACCAAGATAAAATTAAGAATCATCTTTCAAGTAATTTTTAATTCATATTTCTCCTCCAAAAACAAAGTAGCATTTTTGAGCGAGATTCTGTATAGTAAGTAGTCACCTAAGGCATAAAGAAGCGTTTTGTACCTTTTTCTATAATACCGTTGATGTGTGGAACCTGTATTTAGCGGTTAACCGGTATCAAGTGGACACCCCATAATTTCGTATTTTTTCACAGGAGTTGTTACGGCTTTTCTCCGGGCTGGAGATCCTTATTTAACACCATAGTTTACATGATAAAATCGTTTCTCTCACGATGTGGTCACTTCGGATGTGTATCGCGACATTTCGACTGCACATATACTGCCAATCTCCCTCGGCTGATGAAGCTGGCAGTATGCAGTCCAAACGTCACAATCCACATCCGAAGTGACCACATCCGAAGTGACCACATCCGAAGTGACCACATCGGGAGACAAACGATTATATTTCTCTTTTGAAGTGATTGGATTGTTTCATTTAGTCGCAAGGAATTGTCCCACGAACAGTTCACACGCAAAGACCTGGATAATTTGGGGAGACAAGTTCTTGCGACTTCTCTCACGAATTCAAACCAGTTCGAATTCGCGGGACAAGTCACAAGGATTACATTTTGGACCCTACAATCAGACCATCTAATGAAAAATTTAGATGGTAGTTCATTTGAAGGGACCTAGTTCTCGCTACGAGTCGCGGGCACTAGTCCTTTCACTTGGTGCCGATCTTAATGTAACCGTTCTACCTCTACAAAATAACATCAGAGAAAACATCGAACATCCGGTTGTTAAAAAGATGGATAAATTTATCCACTGGATAACCTCATCCGGTGTATAACATGGTTATCCAGTGGATAAAAAGCTGTTGCAAAAGGCAAAGATAGTGCGGCGTATAGTTATCCGACGGCTAAACTCGCTGTACAGGCAGTTGCCATGGTGATAACCCAGGAGTTGCGTGATCTTTTAGCTTGCGCGTTCTAGTGGCGAGACAACATTACAGAAAATGTTGCTTCTTCCCCGGCAAAGCGCGCTAAAAAACCAAAGTTTACACCTGCCGAATGGACAGTTATTTTCGAAGAGGCGGAAAAAAAATATCAAAATAATCAAGAGTAAAATTTCTACGACACTTTCTAACAAACACAAGAGTCGAGTATGGGAGGTAATAACTGACAAAGTCAATGCGTTCGGAGTTTCCAAAAGATCTGTCATGGAAGTGAAAGAAAAGTGGAGAGGAATGGAGAGTGGAGCAAAGAAAGAACACAGCAAATTTACCACTACAAGAAAGAAGGCCAGATTCCCCAAAGTCTACCACAGCCAAAATTTTCGACCTTTTTGAAAAAGACCCGTCTTTCAGCGGCATTTCGGGGGGTGTCAATTCTGGTAAGTCCACTTACGTCAATACTGAAATATACTGTCTTAATGAATAGGAGTGTTATATCCAATTCTCTTAAGTAATTTTCAAGGAAATGCACGCACCCCTTGACGGTAGAACTGCTCACAAGAACTAAAGAATTAAAGGGTTCATACATTTTGTACAAATTATATGCAGCACAAGTTTCAAGCTCATCAATTTATTACTGAGAAATATTTTAGCGCCAAATGTAAGTACACAAGACGTAAGGGTGCTAGTCGATATTACATTTGGCGCTAAAATATTTCTCAGTTTTCGTTAAAATAATAATTGTTTCCTATAATTCATTTCACGTTTTGAGCGTGCTCGGCTTCGCATGACTTGTAATTAAAGATCTTATCTTAGATCACTAGTTGTTTGGGAATCATTAATTAAGCCTGGATAAAGGGCTACCTTTAAAATCAGGAACGGGAAATGGGAGTATAGGGAATTGGGAATGGGGAATCTTTAAAAGTGGGAATTTTTAAAATGGGAAATCTTTAAAATGAAGAATCTTTAAGAGCGGGAATCTTTAAAACGGAGAATCTTGGAAAGCGTGGAATGAAATCGTCCAAATGTATGAGCGGTCTGTGGAAAAGTTGCTCTTTTTTTCTATTTTACGCCAGTGAATCCTTTTAAAATTCAGGTCTGTTGACACAAGTAAAACTACGCAACAGCGGAAATCCCGCCTCAGGTTGAAGTTTGCTCGACGTAACAATTCTGTTTTTGGTTAATATGGACTAATATCAACTTCACAAAACGGAAAACGCTGTAGATCAGACTATTCATCATAATTTCTAACAGGGCCGATGACTGACTAATCATTCATATCAATCAAAAAAATAAATGTTAAGTGCCACTGCCATCCGCCCATTCCCCATTCCGCCATTCCCTATTCCTCTATTCTCCGTTCCTTATTTTAAAGATAGCCCTTGTTTAATGTCTTAGAAGTCGAGTGAGTGGTAACTTAAGCTAAATTATGACCCCGCCGATACCCGTCCTATCGAAACGGAGCACATCGCAGTCTTAATCTCGAAATTTTAGTCTAACGGTCGTGAGCACGGTTTCAAAAGTCAGTGATTTGAAACTTTTGAAAAGTAAGGTTGAAATTCCAGTAAGTAGTTTCACGTAAAAATTTCCACGCGCGCTGTCCTGTTTACGTAAATACGAGTCGCTTACAGTGTTGACATTGAATACAAATGTTACGTACGACATTTCAGGAAATACTTCCTTCATAAGAGCAGTTTTGCTTCGATCGTACTTTTTATTTACGCTTAGCGTTTCGTGATGATAATCGTCATAACAATTTCATCAGACGGTCGTTATTGATTGATAACAATCGAATACGGCGCTGTGTTGACGGTGAGTGGAGTTAGGGCCTTTCTGCACTAGCGACAAAGTTGAAGCGACGACTTGGGACAAATCCTTGAAATTGAATTTGGAATTCTTTGGCAACTGTGCGGGCCGGTCTTGTGAACAGATCAGGCGCGGACGGAATTTGAAGGCTTTGAAATTGTTCATACGAATGCAACAGACGAAACAAAAATTTGCCATAACAAAATTGGTCTTTTGACTTTTTCGGGACAATTCTAGTTTTGTCCGCTTGTGCGGAAAAGCCCTTATCTTTAACATTATTTGTAATGACTCGTTAAACATTTCAGAAAGTAGAAAAATGGTTTCGCTTCGTCGTACTTTTACATTAGAACAATAGCGACGAGAACGTAAACATCACCGACAGGAGGTTGGGAAAACGAACTTCGATGCGCATGCCCAATCGAGCACTACTCGTCGTCCACACCTCCTTCAGGACGCCATCTGCCGCCATCTGCCGTCTTGTCGTGAACGTGAGTATGTCACTCTTAAGATTCAGGTAAATTGAACGCATAAAATCGTTCGAACAGTAACGATCTTATCTACTACATGCAATCCGCTATCTACACTAGCGGCGATCTTATCTACTTGTAAACAATGATGGACGCTTAAGGTTAAGGGGACTTGGCGCGAACCGCAAACGACTAAATGGAATCTGATTTTGTTTTTTTGAACCTAAAGTAATCCTTGAAAAGCATTTGGAAAATTTCTCGTGTTCAAGTAAACTACAAATAATTTCACATAATTTAGCAAGTTTTCAAGTTTTTTCGCCAGTAACCTTTTACGACAGTGACTTAATTGAACTTGATCTTTCCTGATCTTTCCTGACCTTGTTCGCTTTCTGAAGAGGTACTCGGCGGCTCAAAAACTTTTCCCTTTTTCTTCGCAATGCCCTAAAGCCATTTCATAAATAAACTGACGCCAAACTCTTCGGGATGAAACCACGTAATCTCACCAACATCGGAATCCCTCATTTTTCATGAATCTAATACACCATTCAAAGTTAAACAAAGGGTAAAAAATAAAAGACTGCCTCATACATACTAATGAGCTTCTTTTGCGCACGTATTTTGAGCACGTTTTCGAAAGTTGCATGCGTGTGCGCGCCTTTTTAATACGCTTTTTGCGTGCATTTTGGGCCAAGTACCTCTGAGCTGTATTTATATATCTATATTCGTCTAGCGGATTATTCAACATCATTCACTTCACATCAGCAAATGTTTGTTTTAGTATAATTGCTCAGATTCTTGTGAATTCTATCGGAAGATTAATTACCTGACAAGGAAGTTCCGCGTTAAATTGCACGCAAAAACCAATATCGCACAAATCGTGAAGCGGAGAACAGTAATAATATTTTTGGTTTTTACCCTGAGCGCGCGCCCCAGAAAGCCATTTCAAAGTCAACTGTCAGAAGTGTCATTGCATTAGCAAATAGGAAGCCAGGTCAGTCATACGTGTTTGAATCTTCGACAACTTTATTTCTACCTTATGCTTGTTTTTACATTTGTTTACTCACTTTTTAAACAAGCTTCACACTATCTAATGGATAATAATGCTATTTTACTGAATTTACAAGCCGTTTATCTTTATCTTTAATTTTCAAATCATTAGCTCAAGAACGAAAATAATATACACCTCTTACCTCTTTGGTGGCAAAACTGAAAGAAATGTAGTGTCCAAGCAAAAGCACTGAAAGTATAACATTTCAATTAAAGGTATTTATTTCTTCTTCTACATATGGCAATCGACCCTGGCACTTCTTCTGTTCTCGCTTCTTCATCTTGTTCAGTTGAACTTTTGCCTGCCATTTTCTGGGGCCGGGTTCACAGGATTTTCTTGCTATCTCTTATGTGTCTTCAAGAATTTGTAATTCATTTCAAAACAGGGAAGAACCTCTGGCTCACTTTGAAAAATGCTTTTGTTCAAAAGGTGACAATGGTTTTGAAAACACGTTACAATAACATTGTAGAAAACTGTTACAATTTGACGATAATTCTTATGTTTATGTAGATGCGAAACAATATCACTTAACCTCGTTTTCAACTCTCAATTCCATGCTAAATACTTCACTTTGTTGACCAATCAGAATGAGTGATTTTACTCAATTATGCGATTCTGTTGTAAATTTGTTTTGTTATTGACAACATTCTGTTACAATTGTTTTGTCCGTTGGTTTGAAGATAATCAGCCAATCTTATTTCATTCAATCAGCAAAAGCTTCACATTGTTATTTTGAAAAGTGTCTCACAAAACTTAGCAGCATCTTTTGTGCCTTCAAAATTTAATTTTCTTCTATAGTGTTTATGACTTCATCTGCAACATTGAAAGAACGCAAGGCAGCCATTTTGAAATTTAGTGTCCCTGCAATAATCACCTTCTGCGAGATGATTATGAGGGGATACGATGCAATCCTCAACCATAGAGTGCACATCTCTATTATCACTGGAACAATGATATCAAATAAATATATTGAAAACTCACCACATTTTGTAGTGAACACTGGTATCCTTTGGATCCTCAATCTGGGAGTTACTCATTGGGTGACCATTTCACTCCTTTCTAGATCACTATGTATTTTAGTGCTGCTTTTTATTTATTCATATATTTAGTTATTAAACCATTTTAATCAAATCTTTAGTTGTTTGTAACTTTCATACACTAGGCTTCTTTTTAAACTGCAAAGTTATGATCTGAGACAGCATCTGCTATAAATATTGCCATAAGTAAATTAAGTGATTGGACAGTTTTCGCCCAAAAGTTGTGTTATTCATCTTTGGTAATGTCATCAACAACTATTCCCCTCTGAAGTGAGGCAGAAGACAGTTTATGAATAAATCTTAATCAAATTGCAATGGTTTTGATTATGTCTTGTGAAACTGTTAATATTTGGATTGTTTGCTCAGCTGCCCCATATTTTCAAATCACTGATACACCATTTCCCCGGAAATGTACACAAGCTTAATCATATAATGGTTTTTATTTGGTTTCCTTATATTACTAATACATCAATGAATTGGAATCTTCTATGCCCCCCCCCCCTTTTCCTGGCAGCCCCCCAAGTATTTGAACTTTAAAGATTGGTTTGTTGAAATTTCCACCCCAAGGAAAAAAATTGTGTTCAAATGCCCCCACCAATTTTTGAAAAAGGCAAAATCAGCAAACATGACTTTCTGCACATTGACAAAGCTTTAAAACCTAGACCTTCTATACCTTTTTTTCTGACCATTTTTGCTTGAGGAAGTGAACTTTTTACCTTAAACTATTCCACATTCAAATATATAATTATCTATATTTAGAAAAACAGAGGGCATTACTATGAAATATTTGTACAATTACATGCAATTAAGTTTATAGGTCATTGATCATTCCATGTCATACCCCAATGCTTAATGCAGAAATCTTTACTTACAATGGCACTTTTGGTGTAGTCAATACAAATAACAAAATCTTCAGTTATAGGTTGCAAATTGATGTTGAAACCAAACTTTAATTTGAAGTCGTTTCCTCACTTTGTGTTCAACAAACTACGTTCAGTGAATAAAAATGACTTGTTGACATCATGGTTTTTCCTTTCTTTCATATATTTGTAATGCAAGTGTGATAATGGGTATCTTGCAGTTTACTGCGTTAAGAAATAGCTGGTAAATCTACCACTTGAGTTGTGTAAATTCAAGAAATGACCATATCAAATTCCAACTTCCAGAATGCAAACTTTCTAACAATTACCTCCAAGGGTTGAGAGGTAGACATTCAATGCATTTGTTAAGAAGTGCAAATTGTTTGCCTTCCACTAAAATTTTCCTTTTCCAAGTGCTACAAAAATCAGTGCAATTTTTTCTTTATCTTTGGGTGAAATATTAAAGGTCTTAGGCATGTTAGCAAGCATGCCTAATGCCATATTACTTCAATGCCATTATAAAAGGTAGGATATACATTGGACTATTGCAAAAAGCCTATAGTGTGTGTCACTATTTCTTTCAAGTGTATACACTCAATTGCAAAAACGCTGACCCCTAGAAAGCACAGCCAATGGCATTATTAATAGTTACACATGTAAATGATAATCATAATTAGTTGTGCATAGAATACAGAAGCCATTCATACTTTCCTTAAAAAAAAAAATATTTCTCATCATCTAAGATTTCCATGAATAAACAACAACATTTATTATTATTATTTTGTCTTATACATATCTAACAATCCCTACCCACATAATAGCAAAGGTAATCGAGGCAGGAGGGAAACAATAATAAAAGTAAATTCTACAATAACAAGTTTGACTGAACAGAGGAAATGACTGGGTGAGCCTGCTATGAAGAACGGTTAAGGATAAGTTATAGATAAGCCAATTAGGTGTTACTTATTAAAACTGGAGTAAAATTACAACAACAAATGAAACTAAAAAGATTATAATTTTCAAAATTTGTCAGTTAAAGTATGGACAACACATGAGTATTCTCTCCATCCATCAAAATGTTCTGCAGCTGTCTATGCAATAGTCTTCAATCACAGGAGAAAAAGTTCATTTTTTATTTTTATTGCTTCTCAAATTGCCTTAGTGATCCAAGGTTTTTCCAGCTGTTTACTTTCACACCTTTGTAAAGTTCAGAATGGTGCATGCTTCAGTTTACCAGCTTATTTAGCTTGTTATAAAAGGTGGAAAAGAACTTAGAGGGATCCTCAGCAGATGGTAAAGACTCCCATGTGAGTTCTGACAATTCCTGCAAAAACATTTGCTGAGAGAATTTTGAATAGTCACGGGCTGCCATTTTTCAAGGTTTGGTGGTTTCAGTGGTCGATTTAAGAATGCAAAATTGAGAAAAATGATCAGTGAGATCTGAAACAATATTCCCACTAGCAGTATAATAATCAAATTTGTTTTTAGACCCTTGTCGGTTTATCAATTGTCAGTAAAATAGCATAGCTTTTCAAGCAATTTAAAAATTGCTGAGCGTAATTACAAGTCTTTGACTTAGAATATTTATGTTGATGTCACCAAAGAGGTAGATTGATTTACTAGTGGCACTATATTGATCTACAGTTTCTTCAAAATATTCTAAGAGGCAGTCTGCAGAATTATGTTGTCTGTAGACAACTCCACAAATAATATTGCTTTTCTTAGTGAATTCAATTTCAAGCCAAAGTGTCTGAAAAGGCTCATTAGAGGTTTTTTCAATGACTTTGTATCATACATCGTTGTCTTCATACGTTCTACACCTCCAGCAGAAAGAGGCATTGGAACATATTCAAAATTGTAATTTGGTATGGTTGGATTAAAGTCAACATTCTGTCATTAATTCTTGTTTCCATCACTACCAAAAAACTAAAATTAAAATTTAGTTCGTTTAAAATATGGGTTTGAAGGCTGTCCAAGTTTTTCCTTAGGCTTCATATATAAGTTGTGGACATTTCCCATAAAGCCATTGGTTCTCATTGTTCACGAATCATGCTATTTACAGTGTGTCAACATTATTGCAATCAAGTGTATGTTTTAGTATCAGCTACCTGTGTATAAATTTTAAAAAGTTGTAAGCAATGTACTCTCTAACAGCATTACCAGTTTCACAGCCGGGGTACTGGGTGTGAAGGTCAGCAACGCACCCTTCATCATCCATGTCACAGTTCCCTGGTTCTGGTTCCCTTAAGTTGACAGTTATGGTACATACCCTGTCAGGAGCCATCCTCAATTCTGAGTGTAACACATGTAATCTCCTCTTCAACAATCCAAAAGTTTGCTCTATGGTACATCTTGTGATCTTGTGTGTTCTGTTTAAATGCTCCTCCTAAGGTCTTTTGGGGTTGAGGTTACAGGGTCATGAGGAATGGTGAGCATGCATAGCCACTATCCCCAAGTAGCACACCATCTGTGATACCAGTCTCTTCAAGGTTACCCCCTATGGCTGATGTCCAGGTAAAATATGGCTATCATGAGTTGAACCAGGCTGTCTAGCCACAACATCAGTAAACATTCCTGTAAAATTCAAATGTATTCAATACACTACAACTGGTTTTTAATTTTTATGTTTTATGTTATGTAAAAAAAATTTTGATGCAACTTAGGTGTATGGTATTTCTGCATGTGTCTTCCTTCCCACAAAATTGTCATAATGTGAGCATAATCCAATTTTGGAGCAGTAATCGTGGGATCACTTCATTCATTTTGTCAAAACAATCAACTACCCTATCCCTAGGCAAATTATCCCTTTCTTAATATGGTAAACTTCAAGGCATTCCTTGGCCATGCTCCGTAATGCTTTGTTCCAACACTTGAACTAACGCAGACCACTAAAAAAATGTCCATATTGGAGAACACATTTAGTGATCACCAAAGAATATTTTCATTGTTGTCATGTCACCTTTGGAAGACTCAATACCCGTTTCCAAAAAACAAAATCGATTACATCCGACAGCGATAGAATCAAACGGGTGATCGCACAGTTCGAAAAGTCAATCATTTTAAATCAATTTCATTCTCTTGTTTACACGGTAAATTGTATCTGCGTGAATCTCGTGATCACATATTTGATCACGTGTTGTGCTCAAGACAGTCTGTCGCACACTGCTCCTAAGGTGTCAGAAAAGCGTTATACATTGGATGCGAAATTTCTACGGCTTTCATGCTCATATTTAGGATATCTCCTGTTATTTACATGAGATAGTATGCACAGTAAAGCTTAGGGTTAAACGAACATGTTGTCCTTTGCTAAATCAATAATCAGAGCTAGACATATTTGCTTACCTCGATGGTCGCAGATTGCCTGGATATTTTGATAGAGTGAAATCCTTTCCGGTTCACGAAGTCTGGCTCATTTTCGTGAGGGGCAGTTATTCTAACGTGGGTACCGTCGATGAACCCAATGGCACAAGGGAAACCACCAACTCGAAATAAACCTTCCTTAAGATCGTCTCGTTCCGCACGAGTGGACGGAAATCTTACGCAATCGCCTATGACTTTGCAGTTGTGGCTTGAGCCACGCAACACACTACTCGACTGACAGTCGACCCATCAAATCTTAGAAAAGTATCTCCGATCTCCGGCAGATATATATTTTCTAAATATGTAAATGTGGTCTCTGAGTACACAGTAGCGATCAGAATATGGACGAAAGTATTTCCAGTACTATTTACATAAATGAGAGCGTCGTATGTTAATTTCAGTGTGCATAGCGTAACGATGTGAACTATGCCCTTAACACCGAGAGCTTATGTCTGTCGATTTTTGACAACATCATAGAAGAGAGGATATTCAATAAAGTACTACGTAGCCTGTGTGTTTGTTAGCGCTCGATGTAAAGTGGTTGTAGATTAAACATTATCACTCGCGAGAGAAACTTGTTGTGGTTTACGCCCTGACCATGGAACGAAATGACCGTCACAACCTCAAGCAGCGGCCATTTCATGTTTTTACTACCCGATGGATAGAAATTTATACTACCTACCTAACCATGGATAAGTTTATCTGCTCGATAGCGAGTGGATAACGCTATCCATACATTGAACAACCGATATGACGCCATGGTTAAAATTTATCCACTGGATAGCGATTTATACAGCGGATAAGTAGTTTTCCATTCTCTGAACAACCGGGGCCAGATCCTTAGAGTGCGACTCAAGCTGACACGGTCCTCAAAAAACCAATTTCAACAGCTTTTAAGTTTTTGTACATCGAGTTAAGAGCTTCCTCAAACTGAACGAGCTCAATTTCTTTTCAGTTTCCATACAGCTTTGTGTGAAACAGTTAAGGTTTAAGATAAAGCCCACAGCTGTAAGCAACATTGCATCTATTACTATAAACCCTTATTAAATAATGCAAGCGAACATCAGATTCTAAGAATTCTTTTGCGATTAAAGCTTGCGCAGAACTCGAAAAAAATCCTTTTAATAACCTCCAGATTGTTAAACAATGAATGAAAAGCTTCCTTTGAGCCAGCTCGATTCCTTCTCAGTCTTTTATACGGAAACAGTTAAGGTATAGGGCAAGGTTTGCAATTATGAACTAGTCAAACTTATGCAAATATACCTACCTTATAACAGCTAAGAGCGCTTGTGACGTTCTTTATACCTCCACTTTATAATATAGCCTTTCAACGATAAAGCCTTATGGTACAGTGGATGAGGCTTCGCACAATCATGCATTATTAATGCCAAATATTAATGCCAAGATCGCCCACGGCTTCTGTCTATTGACTGTATGCTCTCGACCAATTAGAGTTTATATGCCTGCTTGATAATTAAAGTTGTCCTGCAGTTGCATGTCGATTAACGGACGATTCGATTGAAGCCTTGAGTTACTGCATTCCTTTTTTTATTCCAAGCTGTCGCCGATCTACGGCATCGTTTGGGTGTGTTATGAAAACATTCCACTATAAGCAAAATAAAAGTTATGAAGGTGATACGAATAATTGGAATACATAATAAGGACAATGAGTTTCCAAACGTAGCGATTGTTTCGATATATGAATCTTTTGTCACTTGGCAGCTGCTACACACTAGGTTTAAGGTCACATGTATTAAAATGGCGTCAGGAGAAAAAGTGTAATATTTGAGGATTGTGCACCCTCTTTCGAACACCAGACGCAGAAGGTGCTTTCCTAGTGCTGTTTCCCTCTATTCTTCGTCATTTCAGAATGAATCTTGTGCTTAAAGTGAGAGAAAATGCCGAACGACAACGTCAAGTCGGGTGCGCAAATCGCTACGCCATCATCGCCAGTTCCTCGCTCAGGTCAACCTACTACCCCAATTTATCATCAAATTATTACATATAATTATCCGCTACCAATTCTTATGAAGTGCCATGGTGACGTTGCTGGCAACTGGGACTTTTCGACCAGCAATGGAGCGATTTTTGAGATAGCAACAGGACTTGATACGCAAGAAGAATCGATTCTTTGAGCAACTTTGCCGCGTTCATCGATGGGCAGAGAAGCTTTCTAACTAGAAAATCGACAGGTGTTTAGAAGCCTTGGAAAACTTTAAAATCGCCCCGTCATGAAAGTTGAACCTGGGGATACTTAAAATATTTGCTCCTTTAATAGAAAATATTAGTTCATCACAAAGATCACGCAACCAAATAAAAATCGCGATTTTAAGACGCCATTATTGAATTGTATTAGTGGCTAATCGAGGGGAAATATATTGTAGTATTGGGAAGAGTCGCATAGCGACGAAGCTCAATAGTAATGGCAATAACAATATATTTTCTCCTAACTAGCTAGCCGCCAATATAATGCGGTATTGGTGTTCCAAACAAATAACGATTCAAAAAAGAAATATGTAGAGACTAATACATGGGCGAGCGTAGATATGGAATTTCTCTTCGAGTGTTTAACTCGATAGCTAACGAGTGAGCGCAGCGAACGAGTGAGATGTCGAGTTGAACACATTTCGCGACATTTCGACAGCATATATACTGCCAGTCTTCCTCGCCTGGAGAAGACTAGCAGTATGTAGTCGAAACGTCGCGATCCACATCCGAAGTCACCACAGCGAGAGACAAACGATTATATTTCTCTTAAGAAGTGATTGGATTGCAACGACTTGTCCCACGAACAGTTCGCACGCAGGGACCTGGATAATTTGGGGAGACAAGTCCTTGCGACTTCTCTCATGAATTCAAACTAGTTTGAATTCGCGGGACCAGTCGCAAGGATTATATTTTGGACCCTACGACTAGACCATCTGATGAATAATTTAAATGGTAGTTCATTTGAAGGGACGTAGTCCTCGCTACGAGTCGCGGGCACCAGTCCTTTGATGTGCACCGATCTTAATGTAACTGTTCTACCTCTACAAAATAACATCAGAGCAAACATCAAACATCCGGTTGTTCAAAGGATGGATAAATTTATCAACGCGCTTGTTGATGCAGAAAGCACGGATATTGAGGCGTATGACTATGTGCAACGCGCGTTGTTATTTTTTTTGAAATTCTATGTCGGAAATGAGACTAAAAAGTCTGCTATGTTGCGGAACTTCACGTTTTATTTTATAAAATTACCTTGGCCTCCCTCTCTCTCACGCTGTTCTAGTCTCACGCTCTTGTCTCTCTCATTTTAAATATATAACATGATGCTATTGTTAAATCATCCGTCACTTATCGCTAAAATCAACCGTAAATCGATTAACGCTGAATCATCTCTGACATCTATGATAATATATTTATATGAGTTTTCGATATATATGTATATATACAATACAGCATAGAGGTACATGGCCGACACAACCGCAAAACTTTAGACGCTTTTTGCATTCTGCGCAAAGAAAAAGGGCGCGTCAAGGCGCGTGTCTTAAGCACGTTTTTGCTTTTGTTATTCAACGCAGTCAGCTTGCTTTGTTCCGGGGCAATTTAGTTTTATCAACTGAGTTGATAACGTAGATTTGTCACCGTAAAAGGTTTAAAAGCGGACGTTTTGAACGTTAGCCCTTCGTCAATCAATCTGACGAGGGGGCTAACGCTCGCAACGTCAGCTTTTAAACTCTCTACGGTGGCCAATTTAGGTTATCAACTCAGTTGAAAATACTAAACTACCCCGTTATAGTCTCTCACCGATACAGTAACAGTTTTCTCAGGACACTTACCCCCTATTTTGCTTTGTTCCACATTGTTTCGGAAAACATAAGTTTCCTGTTTCAAATTCCGCCGTCCGAAGCATCAAATCAACATTTCCATGGATACAATGGCTACCGTTTCATTGAAACGTTGAAACGACTTGTCATGGTTCTACCAGTATTTAGTAAAATAGGTTTGTGAAAGTTTTCAAGATGTAAATTTGATAGTTTTTTATTATGGATGATGTAAGATATCAGCCTGAGATCGAGACAACTTTGTCGTATGAATTTGAAAATACTGTAAAGGATACGACTTTTTACCTCTTTTTCGACCATTTTATCGGGAGGGGTACACCATTAGTACTCAGGGAGTGGTGGGATGCAGTCCATCAGTCCTTAGGGAGGGGTGGAAGGCAGACTTTCGTTACTCAGGGAGGGGTGGAAGACGAACTATTAAGTCGACTTGTTCCAGTGCTAAATTGCACTCACCGCTTATCACGAATCATTTTTCAGTTGCTTCACGTTTCCCTTTGTGTGGACAGTATATCATTACTATTCTTCTCTTTTCATTGATTTTATCAGACGACAGAGATCACGGAATTTCCGGTCCTTAGCCCTTAACCTAGCAGCATAGAATTCACATGCGCTATCGCAATTTTAACGTTTGCACCTTTACTATAAAAACATTGTTGGTACAATCGTACAGAGCAATCTTCTCTCTTTTCAGATACTCAGTTTTCCGCCTTAAAGTTAAGTGTCATGTCACGCATTCCACTGTGATGTTTAAAACAGCGCAACTTCAACGCTGGATAATTTTTAACCCTTTAACTCCCATAAGTGACCAAGACAGAACTTCTCTTTACGATATCAATATAATATCAAGCAGATAAGGGATGAGAATAAAGAAAAATATCAATTTGTGAATGATTGGTGGACCCAATACTGAATTCTCTGAACTAACATTACAAGAATTGTATGGTTGACAGTAAGGAGAATTACAAATTTGATTTGGGAGTTAAAGGGTTAAATGGCTGGTTTGCCTTTTGTGGCCTAATTGCACAATTTTCTTTCACATAGCCACAACCGTCATTAAATCCACACAAGTGCAAATTACATTTGCTCTCATTGTCATGAATCACACTATTTACAGTATGTGTCAACATTATTGCAATCAAGTTTATGTTTTAGTTTCAGCCTCCTGTTTAGATATTAAAAAAAATTGTAAGCTATGTGCTCTGTAACAGTGTTACCAATTTCACGACCGTGGTACTGGGTGTGAAGGTCAGCAGCACATCCTTCATCATCCATGTTACAGTCCTTTGGCTCTGGTTCCCTTAAGTTCACAGTGAGGTTATGCAAAATGCAGCAAGCTACCATTATGGTGCTACCCTGTCAGGAGCCATCCTCACCTCTGAGTGTAGCACATGAAATCTCTTCGACAATCCAAAAGTTTGCTCCATGGTATATCATGTAATCTTGTGTACTCTGTTGAAATGCTCCTCCTGAGGTGTTTTAGGGTTGAGGTATGGTGTCACAAGGAATGGAGAGCAAGCATAGCCACCATCCCCATGTAGCACACCATATTTGAGACCAGTCCCTTCAAGGTTACCCCCTACAGCTGACGTCTGGAAAATGTGGCTATCATGAGTTGAACCAGGCCATCTAGCCACAACATTTTAAACATTTCCACAAATTCAATTGTATTCAATAAAAATGTTTTTTTCCAACACAACATTCCCAGTAAACATAATTTTCATACAGCTTAGCTACATAGTATTTCTGTATGTGTCTTCCTAATCCAAAACTGTATTCCCGTAAAAAATTATCACAATGTGAGCATACACATAGGCCCTAAATTGTGAGCAGTTATCGTGGGATCACTTAATTTATTTTGTCGAAATGAATAGCCTTCTTGACAATATAATAATAATAATATTAAAAATTTATAGTGCGCAAATTCCATAAAATGTTCAAATGCGCATTACAAGATTAAAAATTATCATTAAAATAGACTTACAATAATTTTAAGAAACGAGAAAAAAAAAAAAAAAAAAAAAAAAGTAGTTCGTTCCATAGTTTCGAGCAGCACAGGTAAAAAACACGGTCCCCAGTGTAGCTTTCGATTTAAATGATGGATGGCTAAGTAAAAGCTTATCACTGGAATTTCTTAAATTATATTTGGAGGGGGGGTCTAAGGAAAAAAGAGAGGATAGATAAGAAGGGGCTAAAAAAATTAAGAATCTTAAAAGTAATCAACAATATTTTAAACTCAATTCTATATCTAATTGGTAACCAGTGTAACTTAAAAATTAAGGGCGTAATATGACAAAATCTCTGTTCTTTAAGAATCAATCTGGCACAAGCATTCTGTACTCGTTGCAGCTTATTCAACAAGCAGTCCGGTAGTCCATATAATAGGCCATTGCAATAGTCCAGGCGGCTCGTTATAAATGCATGGACAAGAGTTTCCGTTGACTGCTGTGAAAGGTACTTTCTGATCCGACGAATATTATAAATGTAGTAAAATGAAGAGGCACAAATTTTCGTGATGTGTGTTGCCATGGAGAGCCTTGAATCAAACCAGGAACCAAGATTTCTCATAATTGGCACGGGATGTATGTCTGAGTCGCCCACACGTATACTGATATTGTCGAGCTTTCCCAGCTGTTGTGATGTGCCAATGATAAGGAATTCAGTCTTGTCGTCATTTAATTTAAGATCATTATTCAACATCCAAAGACGAATGTCTCTGATGATTCCATTCAGTTTAAGAATTGTCAGCGTAACAATGAATCGTAAATGATATTCAATGATCTCAAAAAGCTTGCTCGTATACAACGAAAACAATAACGGACCCAGACAGGAACCTTTCCGACAGCGAATCGTTAATCATTATCCGTTGAGTTCTACCAGACAAATAGGACGTAAACCAGGAGAGGGCTTTCCCATGTATACCAAATGATGACTCAAGTCGACGTAGCATGGTGTCGTGATCAACTGTGTCGAAGGCAGCACTTAAATCGAGCAGAATAAGCAGAGTAACACGTTGACTGTTCATGTTAAGGAGAATATCATTCATAACCTTAAGGAGTGCAGTTTCTGTGCTGTGGTTCTGTCGATAGGCGGATTGAAACACTGGGAACAGATTGTTGCCATTCAGATAATGCTGTAGCTGCTTGGCAACAACAGTCTCAACCAGCTTAGATTCAAGGTACTCAGAAAATTCGTCAATAAAACTGTTCACAGTCACAGGATGATTAACAGAGTACGGCGGTCGATAGATGATTGCCAATCGAAAGCGTAGTCAAAAGAAGATTCAAAGGAAATCCTTGAAACAGTTTCGATTGATGTTATCTCTGAACAAGAGGGCAATCAACCCCTAGGGCAGTGTAACAGTTTATAGCCAGCAGGAGTTATCTCGTAGCACACAGCGGAGTCGTTGTCTGATAACCAAGAAATTGCAACTAGAATAATATACTAATATACTAACATGATTCCATTCAGTTTATTGAATTATTGACAAAATAGATAACCAGAGATCAAAATACAAAATTACATGCAAACACTTTAGCCAGAACTGAGTGCGATGAGCATAAAGTGTGTGAATGATCGAATTTGAAGGTAGGATGGACAGACTGATCTGGGTATTCCCATGAGAATGCCAAACCTCTCTTCATCCCTATGTCTAAACATAAAGATTGTTAATGTGTAAATCATTCATTAGGCAAAGAAAAACAAACTATGAAAACAATTGAAGAAGACAAAGGGTGTTCACAACGGGACTGCTGTTAGTGATGAACTATGAGTTTGTAACTAACACGTCAAGAAGCAATTTTACCCAGCGATAAAATGCTCTGTAATGCTTTACTCCAGCGCTCAAACCAACACATTCAGTGATCGCCGAAGAATATTTCAGTTGGTATCATGTCACCATTCGAAGACTCAATACTCGTTTGTAACCAAAATCGATTACACCTGATAGCTATAGAATTAAATGGGTGATCACACAGTTCGACCACCTAATCATATGAATCAATTTCAATCAGTTTTTTACATCATACATTGCATCTGAGTGAATCTCCTGATCATATGTTTGATCACATGTTGTATTTAAGCCATTCTGTCACACACTGCTCCTAATGTGACAGAAAAGCATTACATGCACATAAGATGCAAAGTTCCAACAGCTTTCATGTCCACATTTAGGATAGAAAAATTCCTGTTATACACATGAGATAGTATGCACAGTAAAGCTTAGGGTTAAACAGACATGTTGTCCTTTTCTAAACCAATAATTAATTTCTAAACCAATAAGAGTTAGAGATATTAGCTTACCTCAAAGGTTGCATATTGCCTGGACATTGATGGAGTGAAATCCTTTCCGGTTCACGAAGTCTGGTTCATTTTCCTGAGGGGCAGTTATTCTAACGTGAGTACCGTCAATACCCCCAATGGCACAAGGAAAACCACCAACTTGAAAAAAACTTTGCGTAATCTCCTTTTGTTCGGCATAAGTGGATGGAAATCTTACAAGAAGCGTCAGGTAAGTAGTGATTTCCAGTCATCTTTTCGAAAGGTCAAACATAATCGACCAGGATTAATTATTTATTGGCTACAGTGGTATTAATTTTATGTTCGTAACTCTGACTTGATCAGAATAGTAAATATGTTTTGGTGTTTCTTTCCTCTAAATGATTTACAGTCATTTTTTGTATGAATCTCTAAAATGGACATGAATTTGCTCATCTCTGAAAATTGTTTAAAAAGGCACATTCTTGCAAGTTTGCATTTCAACGAACGAGACAGCGGGAAACACAGAGGGCATTTGATGGAAAAGAACACATTCTGGTCACTTACCCAAAATCTAAAATGAGAGAGGAAGTTGTGCGAGAGGTGGCATGCTCCTAACTATGGTAAGAATAAATATGACTACTGCGAATTAACTTTTATTTATAAGACAACAACATGTATGTATCTATATTTATTATACCCATTTTAAAAAAGATGGATTTCATTTCAAACCACCTCAGTACTGCATCAACTGACCAAGTCCTGTATTTGAGCGATTTCAAAATGGATGTAATAAAGTGGTCATTGAACCTCGTGCAATTTTGGTCTGAAATCATACTTGTGATTTCAGCCCAAATTGCACTCCACCCAGTACAATTACATATAAATATATATATATATATATATATATATGTATATATATATAGGAAGTCTGCAAGTCGATTTTCGCGTGGAACAGTGCTCAATACGTTGAAGCAGAGCAGAATAAATATTATGAGAGGAAAAAAGGACGCAACTACATTTCCCGATAAGCCTGTTTCGTGAATCGCTTCACTCTTCAGGGGTTTAATGAAAGAATATTCATGTGACTATCGTGTATATACTCGGAAAATTTACATAATACGCGGTAAACTTAAAAACTTTAAAGTTCAGCTGTTGCGTGGCAACGCTTTGTTTCTGTGTCGGCATGAAGATACGGGTTCGTTATGCTTATTTAGTGATGAGAGGTCGGGTCGGTAAATTATCAGGAATTTTAAAAAAAGAAAGAAAAATTCCTGATAATTTACCGATTTTTTTTTATCGGTTATTTCACGGTTGGTGAGTGAGAATGATTTTTATTCACAACGAGTGAATAAAAATCGTTCAAGCGAACTAACCGTGAAGTAACTTATTTATTATATACATACCGAGATTCAGAAGCGAACAGAGCTCAAAGATAAACATATCTTTATTTTCTTTCAAAAACAACGCGCGGTCAAGCCACCTCACATTTCGAGAGTTGCACTGAAATGGCTTCCTTGTAAAATACTATACATTTAAATTATCAAGCAAAAATGCCGTTAAAAGGCAGAAATAGATAGAGTAAAATAAGACATCCTAAAAATATGTCAAGTTCGACGGAAGTTCAAATTTTGAGATACAGAGGTGAAAACCCAAGACTTCATTCAGCTTTTGAGGAGTCTCGCTTTTTTTTTTCTCTTTTTTTCTTGTAGAAACTACTTTTTCTTTTTCCAAAGGAAAAGAAGGAGGAAATAGTCACAAAGTATGCATTAATATCACCTGAGCCCCTCAATCAGCAGTTTTCAAAGAGATTGAGCAAGGAGGAGCTATAAAGGCATACACGGCGATAACCTTGTTAGTTTATTGCTTTATCAATCCATTCATTTCAACCATCCGAATCTAACATGAAATGAATATAATTTTTTACAATGAAGTTTTAGTTAGTGTGAATTATTTCATTTTCACCACATGTCTGAGGGGGGCAACTTATTTATTTACCTGTGGATATGTTACTTTAAGTTGGGAATGCCTGTAGATCGGCTTTGTGGTGAAAGGTGAATTTTGTTTTCCCAACTCAAGACAGGTGAGAATGAACTGTAATGATGCACTCACGTACTACATAACTTTTGTTATCTTATAGAATTGGAACAAACTTCACAACAAGCTGGCAGCAGTCATCCAAGTAGTAGCCAATCTACTTCTAGATGCCATCCATTAATGATAAGATAAGAATCAGTTCCTTGAGTGACTTTACGTTCATCGATGGGTAGAGAATGTCTTCAGATTCTGCTCAACCTAAACCTTTCGGAGGAAGATTACATGAAAATCGACAGCTGTTTAGCAGCGTTAGAAAACTAATTCGAGCCCAACAGAATTGAGTGTACGAACGGTATATTTTAAAGCATGTGTATAAAAATTCAAATAATCTGTGCAAAGTTATGTCACACTTCTGAGAAAATTAGCCGCGTCCAGTGAATGCAATGCAGCAACAGATGAGATGATCGGTGTCAGGCCCGTCATCGGCTTAAAAGAATTGGGGTGACGAAGTTAGGCTCTTAAGAGAAATATCCCTGATGAAGAAAGCCATACAGGTAAAATCGCCTCGCAGCAAATGAAGACGATCGTAGGTGCTGGCGACAAACAGACAGAAAACGAAAAAGAAATTCAGCGAAAGGAAAGTTGTCTATGGAATTCTTCGTAAGAAGAGAGATGGAGGAAAAATCGTCGAATTCAGAGAAGATATCGGGAAAGAAGAAATCCGTAGGTCCTTTCGAACCAACATGTTTGGGAATAGTCTTTGCTTATGAAAGATTCAAACAATATCTAATAAACTGACAACAAGCCTTTTGAATCAATATTAAAGTAGCCTCTACTATTAGCTCCTTGCCTTCTCTAAAGAACGCTTTTCAGGCTGCAAAGAATCTGTCAGTTAAGTACAAACCTGGTTCCCAAATACTCTTAGCCGCAGGGGATGAAACCCTTGGGCCAGAGGAATCATGTGGAGTATTTTCCCTGGAGCTGGAGAGCATCGACCGTATGCAAGCCCAGATGGTCACACCAGAACGACTGGGTCAACAAAGATCAAGTGCCAATAAAGATCAGGGAGTGTTTTTCTTGCCGTGACGAGCTGATAGTACATAATGGTGTTCTGTTCAAAGGCTCGAGAGCAGTCATCCCTTAGTTACTAAGACCTAAAGTAAAGTCCAGATTCCATCCCAGCCATATAGGAGTATAGGCTTACCTGCGTAACGATAGAGACACTATATTCTGGCCTGGCATGAATGCAGAAGTGCGTTACCAGATCAAGCCACGTTCAATCTGCAACGAATTTCAAGCTAAGAATCAGAAGCTTCTAATGGAGAGTCATTAATTTCCCGGTTGCCAGTGGAGTCGGAGAGCTTCCGAGCAGTTTAGACTTCATGTGTGCTGACTTCTACTCCGATTTCATGGAATTAGAGAAATTGTAAGAAAACAGCTCCAGTTTCGTAATTGTAATATTCAAGGAACAATTCAGCAGACGTGGCATTCCAAACAAACTAGAAACGGACAACACTCCTGAGTTTACGAGCTATGAGTTTCATCAGTTTTCGTTCGATTGGGAGTTCACTCACCTATCTTCCTTCCATCATCACCAGATTCAACGAAAAGGGGTAGTCTACCGTGACAATTGTTAATTCTTTGTTCAAAAAGGCTCTCAAAGACAACAAAGACCCGAGATTAGCCCTGTTGGACCATCGAAACACAACAATAGAGTCCTGCATAGAGTTTGATGTCTAGACGCATCATTAAGGTCGTTTTATAATGAAGTATGGCGCAAACACGTACATGTCACGGCTCCGTTGAAACGGTCTTATTTCTCCTCTTACAACTGCTTTGCCGTCTTCTACTTGGTCCTGGCCTTCTTGGAAGGGAATATAATGACCTTCATGTATTATCGGATTCAGAAACCGAGCAAATGAGACCAGTGTCTATTTTTCTGATATCATCCATTGCTGCAAATCGCCGCCATCTTGTAAATAGGTGTCATACGAGGAACACCAAGTCTAGATTTCACTACAACAGTAACAGCACCGCAAGCTTCAACTTTGAACTGCTTCGTCTAAATGGAGACATTAGCTCTAATCCAGGACCGGAAAGTTGCACCGTTTGTAGAAAAATGGTGGCTAAAAATCACAGGGCTGTGTGTTGCAACTCCTGCTCTCCACGAATTCATATCAAGTGCGGTGGAATCTCACCAAAAGAGTGTAAGCGATTACAGGCTTCTGAAACCGCTAGTTGGATATGTCCTCCCTGCTTGGACGAGATAAAACAACTACCTTTTGCTGACGTTAGTGAGATTGATAGCAGCTACAGTTCTTGCAGTGACACCGACCAGACTCTGAATGAGAACGAAGACCACAACAACACTTGGACGAGTTTTGACACTTTAGTTAAAATGCATCGGAGAAACGTAAAGATCGGTCATATCAATGCCAACAGCATAGCCGGCTTTAAATTCCATGAAATAAAAAAATGGCTTATGCGCGGAAGGTTCGACATTTTGGCCATCTCTGAAACTAAGCTGGATAAAACATATCCTGACAGCTAGTTTGCCATTCAGGGCTTTCGTATGTGCCGATCGGATGGAAATATTTATGCTGGTGAGCTTATGATATTCGTACGGAATGATCTGTGTTTTATTTTGACAAAAGAGCTTGGAGATCAAAATGGTATTGACAAGTCAAACTTCAGGACTGAACACATCATACTGAAAGTGAAGGTAGCAAAATCCTGGTTCACTGTTATGGCGATTTACAGGCCGCCATCTATTCCAACATCTCAATGGAAATTCGAACTGAGCAGGTTATTTGAAGTTGTTACAACTTTTTCAAACGATGTCATCTGCGTTGGAGACTTCAATAATAATCTTCCTAAGGACGGTGGTCACTTGAAAGATTTTCTAGAAGTATACGGTCTCAAAAATTTGATTAAATCACCCACTCGTATAGGCAAGACATCGTCAACTTTACTCGACTTGATTTTAACAAATAACACAAGAAGAATATTTTCATCGGGCGTAGTGGATGCTGATATCAGCGATCATTCTCTAATATATACTATTCTGAAAACCACAGCTCCGCGATTGCGATCTCGCAAAATACAATTAAGAAGTCTAAAGAATTTTGACCAAGATTTATTTTTGCGTGATTTGCTTAATGTCACTTTCCACGTTATGGAGGTATTATACGGTATTGACGATAAACAATACGTGTTTGAGTCACTGTACCTTGACATTCTAAACAAGCACGCACCACAAAAGCAAGCACACATAAGGAGCAATCAATTTCCTTTCACGAACGAACAATGGCGTAAAGCCATTCGTCACCGCAACATACTTTGGAAGAAGTTCACGCATCAGAGGACCAACGCTAATTACGCCGAATACAAGAAACAAAGAAACAAATGCACGTCAATTAGGCGCAAAGCGATTAAAGATCATTTTAAAAACAAGTCAGCGACCGACAATCGCTGGGAGGCAATTTTGGGAGGCTTATTACCCTTTTATGCATTCGAGGTCAAGTAAACAAGCCAATGACATTACGCTAATTGTAAACGATGTGATTATAACGGATAAAAAAGAATTAGCTGAATTGTTCAACAACTACTTTGTTCACATCATTGATGATGTACAGGACATTAAAGAACATAACCTTGGACACGAATTCAGTGCACACCCCAGCATTCGAGCAATTGCGGAGGAAAACGGAAGAAAGAACGCCATACATAATTTTAATTTTAAATACACCAATAAGAACCAGGTTGAAAAACTACTACTAAACATCAACGCACGCAAGGCCTGCGGCCACGACACCATAACTCCGCGGCTTCTTAAGGAATCCGCTTCTTGTTTTTGAGAAAATCCTTGCTTCTCAACTAGACCAGTTCTACACTGAACTATTGTCTGACTACATCTCAGCGTATAGGAGACACTATAGCTGCGAAACCTCGTTAATGAGGTTAACAGAAGCGTAGTCTGGATAACAAATTGCTGCAGTGATATCAATGGATTTATCTAAGGCTTTTGACACCACACCGCATGGACTTTTGCTGGCTAAGCTGAAGGCTTATGGTGTAAACAGTAGAAGTTGTATGCTTCTTAAAGATTACTTACACGGTAGAATGCAGCGGGTGAAAGTAGGTGATACAAGCTCTGATTGGCAAAGAAGTCAGGCGAGGAGTACCTCAAGGCAGTGTTCTTGGACCAATGTTTTTTAATATTTTTATAAATGATTTATTCTTACAAATTAAAACTGTACAATTAAATATGTATGCAGATGATGGTCAACTCCACACTGCCGATGCGGATCCGGTATCTTTGGAAAGGCATATCTCGCGTGAGGTAAGCTCAGCAAATGCCTGGTATGAGATCAATGGAATGATAGCAAATCCCAGCAAACATCAAGGGATGATACTAGGAAAAACTGATCATCAGTTTAATTTCTCAGTAAATGACTCAGTGGAACTTTTTGGCGTTACAATTAATAAAGATCTTACGTTTAAGCAACATGTGTTCTCTATATGTAAAAATGTAAACAATCAGTTTAGCTTTATGATAAGGTTCGGCAAACTGAGTCTACTGAAACCATGCTACGTCTTTGTAAGGCATTTATACTTCCTCATTTTTATTGTTCTATGGTGTGGCATTTCTCAAGTAAACAAGATTCTGATAAATTGGATCTTTTAAACAAACGTATTCTTCAATTTATTTTCAATGATTTTAACTCTGAATACAATAATTTACTTAAAAGGGCAGGAACTGTAAACATTAAGGACAAGCGTTTACATAATTCTTACTATTTTAAATGTCTACAATTTTTCTGATTATCCAGAATATTTAAAAGATATGTTTTGCTTGCGCTCTAGCACCTATTTTTTAAGAGGACATAATATACTCTGTTTGCCTAAACCACTGACCACTTCTTATGGAATCAATTCCTTTAGTTACTTGGCAGCTATATCTTAGAATTCTCTTCCTGACCATCACCGCACTATTTCTGATTTTACTTCTTTTCGACGACTGCTATCTACTGGGTAAAATAATTTACTTAAAAGGGCAGGAACCGCAAACCTTTCTACATCAAGATGATTTGCTAGTTAGTTGTCTAGGTAGTTAGTTATCCTATTTGTTATAGAATTAATATTTTTATTATAATTATTTATTAATGTGGTTTGCTCGAAGATATTCGCACCCGAGTGCTACACTGTAAATTCGAGGGTAAATAAAGTTTACTGATTGATTGATTGATCAGAACCATACTTCCCACGGCTTCTAACCAACTGTACCCAAAGATCCCAGAAAATACGACTTCAAAGCTGAAATTGAAAAGGCAGAAGGCCAAATGGTACCACGATCGCTCCTTCCGCACCCTATCAGAAATTTAGGTCGGGCAAGAGGTCAGAGTCGCATCTCTTCAGAGGAATCAAACTTAGTAGATGGGTGCCTGTATTATGAAGCAATAAGACATGTTCTATGAAGTAAAATCCAGTTCAGACAATAAAATGCTCCATAGAAATCGGGAATTTTTGAAGCAAGGTGAACAACCAGCTGAACAACCCAAGCCAGTTGAGGGCAGTGACAGCCAGTCTTCATAAAGAATGAAGGATTTTAACTCAGCTAATCCTGAACCGAAGCAAATATCGACACCAAAATCTGTTCCAGTTAAGATGAGTGGCTTTACAAGTGTTGTAAAGAGTTGTAAAGCCACCCTTTTATTTTTGGCCATTTAACACGTCTAACTACCATTTAGTAGTCACCGTCAAAGTCACCGAGGTTCGGTGACTTTGTTGTGTAGTTAGCCGTGTTAAATTTGACTTCAGCTCATACGAACTCTCAGCATTCATTTCAGAGACACTGACTATCGGTCATGTTTATATGTTTTGTTTCCGGAGTAAGCTCACTCCAAAAGAGGGGAGATGTTAGGATATATGAATCTTGTGTTACTTGTCACGCTACTTATTCCATACTCTGGTCAGTAAAGACAGTTACTACTGATCACTAAGTTTAAGTGTCACATGTCAACAGCGATGGTAACACACTATAACATAGAAAATCGCTGATGAGTTTTAGCGAGAACAAAAGATCTAAGCAGTCTAGTTTAGCATAAAATGTATAAAAGGTCTCCTAGTTCAATACATTTTTCTAGGGAGTTTTTAAAGTTCTGGCTTCCACTTTCGGATATAAAACGCTTCGAATAATTGTAAGTTGACGGGGTCGTTTTCTTGTAAGAGCACCTTCCCATCAATGCTTTGATTGTGAATTGTCATTTGGCTCGTTAGGATGTGTCTTTTACGGACGAAGTGTCTTTGTTCAAGTGTTGTCGCACGAAGTCATGTGGTGCTTCCGTTGTAGAGTTTCCTTTTTTTTTTTACATCCCATGCATTGTGATTAGATACCCAGCGTTTTCTGCAGGCACAGGTTGGTGCTTGAGATGGGTTAAAAAGTTGAACGGTAACATAACGATCCAAAACAAAGATACAACTGAGGTATTTAGTCTAATGAGTATTTGAACATGCATCAAAGCTTTGTCCCATCACCATTACTTTTGGAGTAGATAAAAGTGAAATTCTTATATCAAGTGATAGGTTGCATTTAATTTTGACAAAAAGTCATGAAAAACAAAAGCAGTTGGTTATAAGGTTAAAAAGCCGGAAAACTCTCATGTTCAGTTAACTCCAAAAATGGTTTGGGAGTGAAAATTTGAATGGTGGCTGTATCTGCAACTCTTTTATCAACTGTTTCAAGTAAAGGAAAAAAGTTATTTCAATTAAAAGTGATAACAGCGCGAAGTAACAGTATTTCAAGTACCCTGTTTAACATTGCAAAGTGCTTAAGCATTGTCCTCAAGAAAATCCTGTATAAACTTTCCTAAAAAAAGGAAAAGTTCAGTTAATAAAAATGTAAATGGAAGGCTAAAGCAAAATTAAAGGTTTGACTGGTCAATGCTATAAGGACAAACCTTACTTTGTGTCATCATTATTGAGGAGAAATCAGATCCCAATCACTCTCAGGGGCTAAGGGGTTGAGTAAACCCTGTATTCAAAGTTCCCAAAAAATCAGGGCAGTAAATAGAAACGTAAAAGGGAAGGCTGAAACAAAAGAAAAGGTTTGACTGCTCGATGTTTTGAAAACAAAAAACAAAATATTTTCTGTTTACTTTATGTATTTTCATTTGCATTCCCTTAAGAATATTGTAATTTTTCATTCCATTTGTTTTATTTATTTTAAGGATGTCATTTACTTTTTTTCTACTTCCTAGTTCTTTTGTAGCATATCTTACTAAAATTGATTGTTGATGTTTTAAAATAAATATATATTTCCAAATGAGAGACAAAAAACAAGCCAACAACAGGAAAATGGAAATATACACAGGAAGTCACACATACAACACAAGCCAACCAAATTATAGACAAGTCTTCGGCAATCACCAATTTACAAAGCAAACAAAATGTTTAAACAGCCTTCGGTGATCA